GGGAACTCCTACCCTTTCCCTCGTCTCGTTGGTGAGGAACTTGGCGCACTCGCTGTAGTTGGCCCAGGTGCGGTTGTTGCCCGGGACCAGCTCCCAGCTCCCGTTCAGGTCACACCGGCGATAAGCGTGGCCTGCGGAGAGGGAGCAGACACGGAGTGAGCAGGAAAAGGGGAGAACATTCATCCCTGAGCTCATCCATGCTGGGGCCTCCTGCCTGCTTGGAAGCTGGGCTGCAAAAAACAACTTTATTGATTTTATCCATTTTTTAAGCTGAGTGTTGTAGTTCAGGTTAGGTTTGGTGGGTTACAGGTGCGAGGTTTTAGTGTTTTTGGTTTTTTTTTTAGTTTAGAGTAGGTTTAATAATTTTAAGAAAAAGGGAAGGGAAAAGAAATTAACTGTAGTTCAGGGAAATTTTTTTTTTGGTCTTAGTTAGAAAAATTAACTAAAAGCAAAAAAGAGCCCTCTTCTTTGTGAGAAGGATGCAGGGGAGCCTGGTGCAGACTCTGATAACAAAACTCTGCACTTTTTCTTTTCTCTTTCACTCGGGGAACTGATCTTAAAGCTGCAGAATTTAAATATTCAACCAACAGAACAGAGGATTTGGGGGACACAAGCATCATAAAGTTACACCAAGACACAAGAAAGGCCACGGAGCTGTGGGGAGGCTCACACTGGCCCGTGGGCCACAGAGGGTTAATGGAGAAGGGTTATTTGTGAAAGGTGCTCCATCAAGGCCCTTGGCCTGGAGACCAGGAAGAGGAGAAGGAGATAAGCAGGAAAGAAAACCTGCAGCTGGGAGAAAGGATTTTTAGGAAGGTTTTGTGGAAAAGGGAGGCGGTTTTGGTGTAAGCAGAGAACAAAGTGTGAGCCGTGTGCAGGGTGTAAGAGGCAGCCATGCAGGGCACTGCAGCCCTCTGAAATGCAGAATGTGCATTTGTGTGCCTCTACAGCCACACTCAGCCTTTAAGAACAGCCCCGGGTGGAAGTTCAGGTGTTGGGTCTGCAAATGGAGAGGACTTGGAAAACCACAAAGGCCAGAATTATCCTCAGAATTCCCTGCGTCTCTCCCCGTGGAGGAATAAAGGTGATTTGTACAGTTCTGCTCTTTGTTTGCAGGCTCAGGTCACCACCAGGGTTTGGTTTTTTTAATCCCTGTCCTCCTCGTGGGGATGCAGAAGGAAGGGAATGCAAGGTTTCATCCTTGGATTCAGCTGGCAGAGGAGAATACCCGTGCTCAGGTGTCTGTGTGGGAATTGTGGCATCAGGTGTGTGTTAAAATCCCCCCACAGGGAACAGGGATTAATCCCACAGAGAGAGAGAGAGAGTAGGGAACCCAAGGAAAGATGGAAAGGGATTTTTACAAGGGATGGAGGGACAGGACACAGGGAATGGCTCCCACTGCCAGAGGGCAGGGATGGATGGGATATTGGGATGGAATTCTTGGCTGGGAGGGGCTGGGATGGAATTCCCAGAAAAGCTGTGGCTGCCCCAGGATCCCTGGAAGTGTCCAAGGCCTGGCTGGATGGAGCTTGGAGCAGCCTGGGATGGTGGGAGGTGTCCCTGGCCATGGCAGGGGGTGGAATGGGATGATCTTTATGCTCCTTTCCATCCCAAACCATTCCAGGATTCTCTGATTCCATCATCTAAGGGTCTCCATGGGGCTCCCACACTGCCTGAGGTACCCAGTGGATATCAGTGAAGTGAGGAACCCAAGCCATGCTGGAATATTGAGGAAAAAAAGGGAAGGATTGCACTGAGGGAGGTCTAGGTTGGATATTGGGAAAATTCCTTCCTGGAAAGGGCAGGGGTGGAGCCCCCATCTCTGGAGGGGTTTAAAATCCATGGATGTGGCACCTGGGGACACGGCCAGGGGTGGCCTTGGCGGTGCTGAGGGATCAGTGGACTGATCTGGGAGGGCTTTTCCACCCTAGAAAATTCCATGATTCTCTCCCTGCTTGTTCCTCCTGGCCTCTGAGGTGGAGAGTGAGATGTCACCAGCCAGGGGTGAATCCCAGCTCTCAGCCCCTGATGGAATAGTCAGGACAGGCTGTGAGCATCCAGGATTCCTGGGAATATCCTTCCTTGCTTTTTGTAATCCCCAGCAGTGCTCTGCCCCGAGCACGGAGTCTGAATCTCCTTTTTTTCCCCCCTCCTTGGGTGCTTGGAACATTCACTGAAGGGCCAAGTGTGCTCTGATCACTTCTAAAAACACCCTCAGACTTCCTGGCACCACCAAGAAATGCAGAGCCTGAGGGAAGGGAGATGAGGAATTCCCACATTCTGCTCCCAGACACCCACCAGGGCTCTGGACACAGAATTAACAAAGCCTGAGGTGGAGAATAAAAGTTGGAAGGATATTTTTGGGGTTCTGTGGGTACCCAGAGTTCATGGGGTCAAACAAATCCCCAGGATTTACGACTGGGAGCTGTGAGCAGGTAACTGGTGTTGGGAATGGCACAGTCTGTGAGGGCCAGGTGGGAAATCTGTGACTCTGTGTGGGAAACTTGTCATTATTTCAATTCCA